CAGTCGTGACAGGGGCCACCTAAGCTCAGGAAGCTTGCATCTGCTCAAATAGACACTCCCCCGGGGGGGGGGGGGGGGGGCGGGGGAGGGGAGGTAGTGGGGACACAGGCTCCAGACAGCGCCTCTAGTTTCCTGGAGGTCCAGGGCATGCTGGTGAGCAACTGGCAGGGTGAGGAATGTGGCCCACCCCCACAGCCAGCCCCAACGCACCACCGGTAGACTTCCCACAAGGCCAGATTCTGGACTCGCTCTATCTTCTGAACGAAGCAGGAAGGCAGTGTACGGTTGAAGAGGTTCCAGATTTTCTGATACTCTTCTGAAGAAGAGTCTAGGGTGATTTTCTACAAAAGGATAATGTCTTTAAAATGTTATCCTCCAAGTACAGAATACAAATGCAGCCTTTCCTCTTCCTACGACAACTGGAAACTGCCAGGACACAGAAGCAAGAAAGCGGCAGAGTAGCGGCCACACTCCCCTTCCCAGATGAGGTCTCTCCGGGCTTGGCATACTCGCAGATTAGAGGCACTTCCCACTTGCTTACTGGAAGCCAGCCCAAAGGACAGGCATGTGCTACCACACAGCCCTCTGGATGTCCCTGGGTGACCCTGCTATGCTTTTGGATTTTTAATAATGTATACAAGAGCGGGCAGCACAGCTGTGTGAGCTGGTGTGACTCCCCAGAGCTTCGCCCATGGGCCATGATGCTGGCCAGGCCTGTGCTCGGCAGAAGCCCGGCAGACCCTCCAGGACAGTGGTGGCCAGGGCAGGCAGGACGTCGGTCTGTGCCCGGCGGCACTCCACTGGCTCCCACCAGATAGCAGCCCTGCCTGCACCACTCACTCATCTGCTCTCCTGTCTGCTCAGGTCTGCGCCTTCCTCTGCTCCATGTCCCTCAGACACCCACATCGCATTCTCTGGTTTTTTCTTTTTTTTTCTGTATTTAGGACAGGGTCTACAAGGTGTACAGGGTCTCACTACATAGATCAGACTCATAGTGATTCTCCCGTTTTCAGCCTACCAAGTGCTGGGGTTACAGGCACACGCCATCACACCGTTTTCTTTTTCTTGTTTAGTAAAACTGATTTTCATCAGCTAAGGCTGGCTCCTAAACTCGTGCCTCCCCTTCCCAGCATGTTTCACAGCTTGTCCTCCTCCTTCCACACTATATCCTTTCCTCAAGCCACAGCCATCTCCTGGAGTGGGTAGTCACTGGGCCTTCAATTCTGTCCCGTAAACCACAGCCACTCAGCACCAGCCATGCGCCACTCATCCTGACAGACTCGCAGAGTCCCTTACCTTAAAGCCTGGGTCTGGCAGGGCAGAGGGATCCCAGTAGTCTGGGATGCTCTTTGGGCCTTGAAACTTGACACTGCTACAAAATATAAGCAGAACCACTGAGACACTTTATCCTGGATGTAAGCAAATCCACCACACTCAGCTCCCACTAGGCAACATCACCAGGCGTGTCAGCATACAGCAGGTTAAAAGATACAGGAAAGCGAGGGAGCACAAAAACAGCATCTGCCACACACACACACACACACAAAATGCTTTGTTTTGTGTTGGGGGGAGGGGCTGACATGGGATCTCCTTCTGTAGTTCAGCCTGGCCTTGAACCCACTTATGTGGCCCAGGCTGGCCTCCAATTCACAGGTATCCTCCTGCATCTGCCCCCAGAGTGCTAGGATTACAGGTATGTGCCACCAAGGCTGCCCAGAGACAACAATTATCTTTATCTCATGGCCAAACACACAGCCATCAGTCCTGGGGAGGCTTTCCCACCGTGTCCCAAATAAACTGGAAGGGACAGAGCCCATGAGGGAAGCAGCAGGCACATGACACAGGCTTGGCTCAAAGAGCCCCAAAGACTTTTTCTTAAGTCAGGTAACTGACTTATAAAATTGAGGGGATTTGAAACAGTCTCATTGCTATTTATTTCTCAATAAAATTATGGGAAAAAAATAAAATAAAATAAAAATTGAGGGGGCTACTGGGGGTCAAACTCAGAGACACTGTACCACTGGGCAACACCCCAGCCAGCCCTTCTTTTACTTTTTAAGTCAGGCTCTTGCTAATTGGCCCAGGCAAGGCTCAACTTGCAACCCTCCTACCTCAGCCTTCCAAGTAGCTGGAATTTTTTAAAGTGTACACCCTGCATCCAGCTTATAAAAACATTTGTAATTTTTTTAAAAAAATGTATTTAGGCAGGGTCTACAGGATCTCACTACACAGATCGGTCTCGTAGTGAGCCTCCTATTTTCAGCCTCCAAACACTGGGATTATAGGCACGTGCCTCCATGCCAAACCTCAGCCTCAGTCACCATCTCAGCACACCCCAGGGATGCGGCTGGCAGGCCAGGGATTGAAGCTTGGTCCCTTCACCTGTCTAAGCAGGCACTTTAATCTGCTGAACTAGCTGGTTGGCCCTAAAAACATTTTCTAAAAAACATAAAATGGACACCAAAATTCATCTGGCAGTAGAGATCTGACTTGAGCTAAGATCTGTAGACCTATCACCCCTCTTACAGTGAGGACAAGTACTCCTAACTGCCGAAATATTGTGCTAAAATACAGGATGTCACATAACACAGGCCACGTCACAAGCCTTCTACGAATAATAAAAGCAGTTCTAGAGCACAGGCCCCACGGGCTTCAGACACAGCACCCTGAAACTGTTCCCAAACACCCCACTTACGTTCAGGGTGCTCTGTGTTCCCACTAGGTGCGAGGGCCCGCCTATGCCGGCAGAGCTGCATGGCCTCCCCCTCGGCAGCCCTCAGCTAACCTCCCGGGGCAAGGCGCTGTGCAGCCACCCAAACATGGTCCTACAAAAAGCAGCAGCCAGAAACAGAACCACCACTACCCAGGGTGGCATGATCACTGCACTGTAAATAACGGTTTTTTCCTACGCTTAAAGAAATGAAAACCAAATTTTAAAAGCATACACGAGGAAACCATAAAAAAGACTTCAATCTTAGCCAGGTGTGGTGGGGCAATGCCTGTAATCCCAGCATTTGGGAGGCTGAGGCAGGAGGATCATTACAATTTCAAGACCAACCTGAGTCACAAAGTGAGCTCAAGGCCAGCCTGAACTGCACAGTGAGATCCTGTCTCAAAAAGGTCAGGGAAAGAGCTCAGCGGCCTAAGTGCCTGCCTGGCAGGTGCAAGGTTCTGAGTTTGATACCCAGTACCACATGCTGTGCAGGCCCCAAAATCCCAGGGGTGTACTGGAGAGGCTGAGACAGGAGGATCACTATAGATCAGAACTGTGTAGTGAGACCCTGTATCAAAACAAAAACAAAAAACTGTAAAATCTAAACAGAACTTTCAGAAGTGAAAATTTGAATCCTTAATGACAACTCCCAAACTATTAGAGGGAAAATGTGAGTTTTAAAAATCCAAAGGATAAAAAAAAGCAAAAGAGAATCACAAATATTTTTATGTAAGGTAAAAATTAAAGAACTAACCAGACACCTAATATGTACAGATGCTGTTTCAAACTGTACTTCAGATGCTGTTTCAAACATGCATTTTGAGATCACATTCTATTGGGTAACTGCAGATGCATTTCTGAGAGACCCACCTCTGCGCTCCTGTCACCACTTTGTCACTGGAGTCAACAAGTGGCTGCCATCACACAGCTGTGGACAGTAATGGGCAGAGCTGTGTGAGCAGCAAATGGCTCAGCCCAGCCATGTATAAGGGGATGTCACAGAGCCCTCAGTCTGCGTGGACCAAACCCACCTTTTATTTCTGACATCTGCTATCTATGTGGGCTCCCCTAAAACTAAATTAGAACGATGGCAAGAGATCTGGTCTCAAAAAAAAAAAAAAAAGAATTTTCCGAACTTGGGTCTTGAGCAGACTCTAGATAGAGGAAAAATAAAAAATAACTTCTAGCTACCAAATAGCTAGAAGGTTATAATCAACCGAATAGTTATAATCAACCTAAACTCTAAATCTAGAAGCAATAGAGATTGATTCAATCAAACAAGGAAAACAAAAATAAGTATCTCTATAAAATGCTTCATAAGCAAAGGCAAATAACAAACCAAGATAAAGTATTTGCAATTCATATAACCTAGAGCTAACATCTCCCTAACACACAAAAAGTTCCAAATACTTAACAAAAAATGATAGAAAAATGGACAAAAAGGTAAACAGACTATGGGATGAAAACAGGAGAAAAATAACCTTCATACGTTGGGGGAAAATATCCTGGCTTACAGGGAGAAGCAAGCTGAAGTACTCTGACGTACCACTTCACAGCTAGAGAATGACAACATCTAGGAGCCCACGACCCCATAAGTGGGCCGAGAAAAACACATCTTGGGTCGCCCAGCTGGGGCCGCAATCGGGCTCACAGAAAAGAACTTCATTTACCATCCAGGACTCCAAAAATGGGAACAGTGTGAACACCAGACGGTCCCGTGTGACATTATACTTTGAAAACACAGATACCTATGAAAAGAAAAACTACACTCCACACTTGGGATTGAGAACCACCAAAGCAGAGGCAGACTCAGGAAGAAACACTTCAGAGAGCTAGAACAGCGCATGAAGGATCTTTGTTCAGGTTTTTTCAAAAAGTACAGAGCAGCACATATACCACATTACCTTTTGTGCATGGAAGAAACTAGACATGCATCTGCTCATTTTGGCTGGAACATGGGAAAGCAGAGACTAATGAAAAGGCTCAGCACAGTGGGGAAGATGGGGCGCTGACACAGATGTGGACTACTGAGTGTTCTTCATTGTACATTCTTACCCATGTAAATGTTGTACATGTAGCCAAAAATAAACTGTAATTAAAAAGAAAAGGGCAGGCACACTCCCCAGAAAGGTACTTTGTTGGATCCCAGTCCCAAGACGGTCTCCCATGAAACCAAGATGAGCCTGACTTCTCAGGCTAACAAGTGACAGACCTTGACAGCTGCAGTCCCAGCTTCCACTGGGGCAAAGTCAACCTGCTGGGGCCCTGGCATCCCTCTCCACCACCCAGGCCACCTGCTCCCAGCAAGGGGCTGAGAGGCCGAGTTGGTTGAAGAGTTGACCCCTAACCCCATGGTGTACTCTGACTCATCAAGCTGTCCAAGCCTAAAGCAACATTCTTGCTTTAAGGGGTCAGAGCTCTGGATACTCCCCTGTGTATATCAGGCCAGGGCAGCAGCTGCCAGTAACCCACCCAGGCTGAAGCTGGCCCAGCGGCAGCTCTAATGTTGGGTTTGGCATTTTGGTATCTCACGACATTCAAGTCTGAAACATAGGCTTCATCTGCATGTTTCCATCATTATTTCAATAATTAAGAAATGTCAGGTCGGTAACCCAATCATACCAAAAAGTCACCGATGGGCTCGCTTAGGTCTGACCAGAGTCACACAGCAGCCTGCTCCTATGAGCAGGAATTGCTCCTCCCTCTGGCTCAAATGCTCCCCTAGCCAGAATGCTTCATGACAGCACAGTCCAAGAGCACCTGGTGACACAGGGCTGAACACATCCTCCACGCTGTCACTGCCACAGGGCACACTGCTAACACTCCAAGCAAGCCCGCCACACCACCTACCAGGTCTGCTTCATCTGCACGTCCTGTGGAGACACATATTTGGGTCTCCGGCAAACTTTTCTGACGGTGCCATAAATGAGGTTTTTCTGAACGAAAGCTGAAAAAAATTAGGCCAATGAAGAAAGAGATATCTAGACACACATGCACACAGCAATGTTTTATAAACACAAATTAAATGGGCTGGAAAGTTAACCCAAATGTGTAAAGCCCATAATCAGTCTTAAAAATAAGGCAGCTTTACACATTTCAAATATTCATGAAGAAAACAGGTATCCTTAGGAGGCTTGGTTTAATGAATAGAGGAATGATTAGCAATTGACATATCAATTATGCATGAGTGCTTTTAAATTGTTCCTTCTAATCCTGTTTAAGCTATTATTTTGCTTAGCAATTTTTCCCAGCTTGGAAGTAAAAAAAAACACAGCCCAGGCTGAGAACAAATTACCACGTGTGGAATTAGTGGGGTTTGGGGTTGGTAAAATAGTTTTACACTTTTTTAGTTAAACTGACTCAGTAACAGCATTTATTATCCTTTAAACCTGTATTATCTTTCACAAACACAACTCTGGCTACCTCACCCCAAAGAACCTCACATTCACCCTGAGGAGGTGCTGCCTCTTGAGTCAACAAGTGACAGTGCCTAGCAACTAGGCCACACAGTCTTACCCACCTTGGAAACCATGACAGTCCTAATCTCCTAAGAGTAAAAATTATTTTCATTTTAAGAACACTTTAATGGTAAAAATTGTAAAAGCGTAGAATTTACCTCATGACCTAGAGCAGGTGTATAATAACCCCAGCGTGCGTCTCGCGCTGTAGTCACCCACATCCCTGTGTGCAGACTCCACAGCCTGTCTGTTCCCCATCACCAGCCTTCCACTCAGGCTGCTCATCGACACCCTTAGGTGGGTTTTACTGACTTACTACCTAATCACTCTGGTGGACAACTGGAGGCCAGCTTATAACACCCAGCGGAACCACCTCAGTGTGGCCCTGGGTGTGGAAGGCCCACCTAAGGACTGTTGCCAATAACATAAAAGAAGAACTGGAGAGGAAGAAGTGGGGCTCTTGGTTCTCCTGGGGGAGCCTGTCGTGCTGGCTTTCCTGATATGAACTCAGCTGTTCTCACTGGAGGGGCTTGGGATCTTGTCTCTAAGAATGGCTGTGGTTCACTTTGGGAAGCTCTGTTCCTTAGAGTGTGGCTTCCTGGCTCCAGTGCAGACCCGCTGGCAGACTTTCTAGCTTCCACCACTGACCCTCGGGCCTTCCCAGCACAAAACCATAAGACAAACCTGCATGAGACACTTTCATGGGCTCTAGGTCTTCAGCTAGACTCATGCAGAAAATAACCAAGGGAGCCAGGCCTCAGTGGGGTTCATAGGGTCTTTAGTGTATGGACAGATTTTCTGCACTCTTTCATATTTGACTCTTTTGGTGATTATTATAAAATAATCCTACATTCATAAGCACCTACCTAGCAAGCACAAAGTCCTGAGTTCAATCCCCAGTATGAAAATAAATAATCCTATAAAGTATGTGTCCTGTATTACACTGTTTCCCTTGCAAACCCTGACTACAACTGTCACCTGGAATCAATCTTCTTTCCAGAAAGGGTCTCACTACACAGTTCAGGCTGACTTTCGACTTGTTACATACCCAGGCTGGCCTCCACCTCACAACAATCCTCCTGCCTCAGCCTCCCAAGTGCTCATGCACCACCACACTCACCTTACCTGGGACGAATCTTAATGGGCTTCCCCTATAGCCTGTAGAAATTAAAAGTCACTCAAGCTATGTGAACTGGCCAATGTGCATTCTACCCTTCTCAGGCAGTGAGGCCTCCACTCTAGTTGGCCCCTGCAGAAGTCACACTAGACAATGTCTCAAACCAGACTGGGGGGACTCTGCCTGTGTGAGCTAGCAAACAGGGTATCAGCATGAGCGGGGGGTGGGGGGGGGGACGACTCCTGCTTTCTGTGAATCTTCTATGACAAGAATCTTGGAGGCCTAGGGCCGGCTCAGCTAATTAAAGCACCTGCAAGCAGGTGCAGGGGCTGGGATTCAATCCCTGAGCCTGCCGTGCCAGCTCTGCCCCTGGGGTGTGCTGAGACGAAAATTGAGACTAGGCATGTTGTAATCCCAGCTCTTGGGAGGCTGTAAACAGGAGGATCACTATGAGTCCAATCTAGTAGTGAGACCCTGAACACCCTGTAGACCCTTCCCTAAAATACAAAAAAAAAAAAAAAAGAAAGAAAGAAAGAAAAGAATCTGAGGACTAAACTAAGTGTCCCAAACCTACGGACAAGGAACTTGACTTCTCTGTTTTTGTTTTTCTTTCTTTTTGCAGGGGTGGTACTAGGGATCGAACTCAGGACCTTGTGTTTGTTGGGTAGGTGCTTAGGCTGCTGAGTTATCTCCCTGCACGTGGCTCTTAATAAACATGTGTCAGAAGCCTCTATGGTAGTTTGGTCTGAGAGCTGCTTTTGTTATGCATAGCAGTGAGATTATGAGGGCAAAACCAACCACCTCAGACTGATTTTGTGGACACAGTGATCCCTTTCTTATCATGGAGGTTATGTTCCAGACACCCCTGTGATAAAAGTAGCAACCTTATTTTAGTATTTAGATAGATTTCAAGGCTTTACAAACCCTTCCCACACTCTTATAAACCTTTCCCACTTTTAGAAACACTTCTACTATTCTTAACCATTTTCTAAACTTGCAAACCTACGTAATTTTAAAAATATAAGTATATTGTACAGTACTGCAAAAATCCCACAGTATAGCAAAAAAACTTGCGATAAATAATTTAGATTAATATTTTTGGCTGCAGCTGGGGTTCAACACCCTGTGTGCTGTGCCGACCTGCCCCCAGGGGCACACTGAGACAGTGATTGAGACTGGGCATGGTGGCACGTGCCTGTAATCCCAACACTTGGGAGGGAGAATCACTATGAGTCTGATCTATATAGTGAGACCCTGTAGGCCCTGTACTAAAACTACATTATATATACATATATATACATATATATACATATATATACATATATATACATATATATATATATATATATATATATATATATATATATATATATATATTAAACCTGTTAAACAGTGAGTCTGTGAAAGTCAAACCACAAAATAGCAAGGGACTACTGTACCAGCATCCACCAAAATGAAAGTGAAGACAGATGCCTTCTCAGATGGGCTGGGTGTGGCTGCAGTGAACACCTAATTAACTGTGTGTGCTCATCTCTTCCCTGTGCTAGTCTGTTCCATCCCCAGGGGTGTCTGTTAACCATGTCACACATACTGGGGTTCTCCAGCAGAACCACGCACTCTGAGCACAAGGGGCTCCTGGGTGTGCTGCAAGGAGCAGGGAGCCTCCCCTGTGCAAACACAGGCACTACCAACCAAACCAACAGGCCAGAGCAGCAAGCAGGCACAGCAGCTTTAGGATGGCCCGCCAAAGACACTGCCACCCTCCACACAGAATAAGCTTCCAGAAACTGCAAGAGCAGCCAGGATGCTGCGCTGTGAGGAAGGCCCTCCCACTGGATCATCCAATGCTGGGCCCTTGAGGCCCCAAGCCTGAAAGGGAAACTGAACTGAACAAGGCTGGTGCCGCACACCCATGGAAATGGCTTAAGAGAGCCCATGGCAGAACTAAAACAGAAAAAACCTCCTGGCTCTGCTGCTGAAGAACTGGCCAGTAGATATCTGACCTCCTATCAGTAAAGACAACTGGGACAAGTGATTTGAGCTCCCAGTCAGGGCACCACCAAGGCCAATGACACCTACAGAAAAGATGGTGACAATACTGCCACACCCATATTGCCATGCCAGAGACTGAGAAGTCAACCCTCAGACCAAAAGGACTCTCCTGGCCCTTGGGACACCACCCGCACTGACCCTCCATCCACAGGTTCTGGCCCCTGCCCCTTCCCATTTCCTCCATGCAGTCCTCGGCCCTGCAGGGGCAGCATCCTCTGCTGAGAGGCCTGTCTGCACTCCTGGGAGGACACGCCCTCCTGTCTTTCCGGTGCCATCCCTGGCCTTGGGTTAATATGGCTGGATCTGCAAGGTGGGCTGGAGTACCTTTGAAGTCTAATATGTAGTTGTGTTTTCCGGCCTGGAACTTCAGGATGGCCGCCTGGTCGTCAGCTCCTGGGGTGCAGAAAGCCAGGTAGGCCTTCTCCACATCGCTGCTGCTGACAGTGGTCACGGGGTGCCCTGTGCCCTGCAAGGGGAAAGCCAGAGACTTTGTGACGATGAGGAGCCCCTGGTGGTATTCATGTCATACTCCAGGCATGACCACTTGGTCAGATATGTCCTGGGGAAACAGAAAGGCACGAGAGAGCAGGGGCAGCAGGAGAAGGCACTACAGCAACAAGCGGCATGACTCTCCCTAAAGCTGGTTTGTAAATGAGAGGCAATGAGCATGGGTCCTACCCAAGCAGGGCGACGGCATGGGAACAATGGAAAGAGGCCCTGAAGGTCCTCAGAATGAGGGCACAGCCTGCAAAGGAGGCCAGACACCAATAGCGAGATCCCCGCAGCCGCTTTCCTCATTGGCTGAGGGAGTTAGAGCCACTTCTTCTCCACTGCTCCTGCACCCACTGGCCTTTCACCAGTCTTCTGTCCTCCTCTGTGCAGTTTCCTTTCCCGGGCCCCAGGAGAGCCCTTCTGTTCTAAGTTACCCCACTCCTCACCCTCCTGTATAACCCTGGTTCACTGCTAGGACCTGGATGTGGGGTATCCAACAAGGATCCATGCTGTGCGTTGGCTGGTCCCGGTGGACACAGCAGTGGTGGTGCAGGCTGACAGAAAGAAATACCTTGAAGCAAAACTGACCCAGTATTTAAGGGAAAAGAAATCTCCATATACAAAAGAAAATAAAGAAGTTGGTTTCTTGAAACTGTCCTACTAAACTGTCTCATTGCTATTTCTCAATAAAATTATTAAAGAAAAGAAGTTGGTTTGCCATCAAAAGACCTTACTAAGAGGCATCCTAATAGGGTAGGAGGTTGTGGAAATGAAATAGAAAAGAGAAGAAATATACCCTAAAGCACCTGAGTGTGGAAACAGGAAAGGATTCCACCTTGGGAGGGTTGCACCCTTGTGGGGCAGGAGGGCCTGGCCTTCAGGAATGCTTAGAGCTGGCCTGGGGGTGAGGAAAGAGCAAGCCCAGAGCAAGCTGGCTCAACCGTGGCATTGGAAATCAGCCCACCCATGCACTTGGCCCCTTCTGCAAATGACTGTCACTTCAAGTGGACCCATCCAAGACAGCCCTGAGCAGAGGCCAAAAGAGGGGGCTATCCGATCACGGCAACCTGTGACCTAAATAAGCCTCTTTTCTTTACTAGGTGCCCTACCTCAGTTACTTTGTTACATCTACATAAAATAGACTGCACCACTCCTAAACTGGCTGACTCCATCCTTGGCTAGTTATCTCACGTATATACAGGAATAATTATCACACTCAGACACACGTAACATTATACATCAGGAATGTGCTGCCCTCGCATTTGGGAAAACCATGAAAATAAGGCACACAGAGCACTCAGCACAGTGCCTGGAAACATCACACTTGGTAACTGGCAGCTATTGTCATGACCCATTTGACACACACCGGCGACTACAGATGAAAAGGAGCAGACTGGTAACTCCCTCTGGCCCTGCACATCTTCCAATTCTGCCATTGCGCACGTCCTACTCCTCTTACATCACAAGTCCCAGGCTTTGTGGAAACAAGCCTAAGTGAAACAGGGACTAGGGCAGAAAGAGTATACAATTTTTGAAGTGCTCTACTTTATGGTCTTGATGGGTGCCGTATGTTTCCCTTTCTTACTCTTCAAAACTCAATCATTAGACTTGAGTAGGGGAAGGAGAGGAGGGTGCATAAAAATCCCTTCCAGAAAAGGGCGGGGGTACTCCATTTTGGTCTGAGGAAATGATGTCACACACACACACATCACGCCCTGGTCTATAAGGTCTCTCAAGACAGGTTGCCATGGGGAGGGAGAAGACGCAGGTGGCCAAACAGAAAGCGAAAAGCAAAGGTTTTTACCCCCAAGCAGGTCTGGAAGGAAAATCTAAGAGCTAAGCTGAGGAAGGCCCAAGTGCAACATTCAGGGACACAAGCAGATGCACCAGGAATGGTGAGTGCCCACGCATCCTGAGGGAAGACCAGCAGTGGTCTGATTCAGATATAAAATTCTGGAGTATGTCCTGAACTTGGACAAGAACCTAGCTTTTTTGAGAATCAAGAGAAAAACTTCCCTGCCTTCCTACAGCTTACATCCAAGTACGGTCAGAAGAAAAGGCCATTCCAAGTATAGTTAAGAACAGAAAGGGGAGGAAAATGAAATACCTTGGAATTAATCTAAATAAAGAAGTCAAAGATCTTTTCAAGGAAAATTACA